AAGATAAAATAAAGAGTTTTAAAACTAAAAAATAAATCTAATGTTTATTTTTTAAATAATGTTTATTTTTTTAAATAATCAAAAGAGCAATGTACAAGCCTTCAGTGTCAGCCAAATATTTTCTCGATTTTTATCTTCACCCGTTTGATTTGCTTAACTAAGCTTCATATAAGAGAGGATGTGATTTGGCATATAATAGATCATATTCAAGGGACGAAAAATCCCTCCCCAATAAAAGGAGATGTACTGCAATTAGCTATCAAAATAATGAATTGCGAAGAACGGAGAAAAGTCATGTCTTGTGATCAGATGCACCAATATCAATAATCCATGTATTATCATTACAATTGATAGGATAAAACAAAAGCTTTACCAAGAATACCTATATGGATAATGTTGGTTGTAGGTTCCTCTTACTTTTCTTCCTCTTTGAATGCTGACATAGCCTTAGCCTTTTGTTAGACCGGCCCAAGGGCTACTGAACCATTGATGGACCGGTTCACATTTACAGGAGGCGGGCCAAAAGGGGGGGCGAAACTAGGGAGGAGCCCACGCACTAATGAAACTTTGGGTTGAAGAGAAAATTCAAATTAGGGGATGTTTAGGGATTAATAATTTGTCCTTTTGCTTTAATTAGTTTCTTCTTGCTAGGATTAGGGCTATCTTGCATTAAATCTAAAATTTGAGATCTTTGTGTTGGTTTTGGACTCTAGACTTTAGCTAGAGATTTGGAGAGCTGAATCTTCCTCTCGAATTGAAGATTTGTTGCTTCGGGTTGTTTCTTTTCTTCTATTATTGAATTTCAAGAGCTTTCTTCTTGGTTTTTCCTATAGATTTTGAAAATTTTGCATAGTGATTGCTAAATTTCTCTGAAATTCAACAGTTTTATCTTTTTTTTTGTGGCTATTTCCTATCAACTTTCCTACAATATTCTTTCAAGATTTATTTTTCTCGTAAAAATCTCGTAATATTTTTTTTTCAATTGATCGATTTTATCACAATTAGAGCATACCAACCCTTCAGTGGAGAAAGGAGTGTTGGTTTTTCTCATGTATTTGCCACATAGAAAATATGAAAAAGAATATAAAAATAAAACATAATATATTCAAAGAAAGAATTTGAGGGAGATTAAACAAAAGAATACGAATGAGATTCAAAGAAATAGTATAGACATAACTCAAACCTGCTCTGATACCATCTTAGTGTTGACCTCGTTTTTTATCATGTGTTTGTTACAAATGATGATTACATACAAATGTTATGGATTCCTTTCTCTATGGATTTTGATAATGGTAGATTTTCCCTATACTTACTAAATTTTATCACTTCTTATTTTAATATTTCGCACATCAGTTGATTTAGATAATAATAATACAACAACAACAACATCAAGCCTTTTCCCACTACGTGGGGTCGGATACATGAATCCTTTTTCATCATTATGTCCTACTAAAAGTCAAATTCTCATTTAAATCTAATAAAGAAATATCATTTTTAATATTTTCTAACCAAGACTTTTTAGGTCTACCTCTACCTTTCTAGTTGATTTAAATAATAATAATAATAATAATAATAATAATACTTCTTAATGATTGGAGAAGGCAAGGTGTGTGGATATGTCATGATTTAAAGCGGATTTGAAAAATTCTATATGTCAATAATCTTTTGGTGAGAATTACACTTGTTATCCTAAATGGCTCCTAATTTTGTAGAAGTGGCTAAATGTTCTTTCTTTAAAATTTTAAGAATGGCTAATTGCATTCTCTTTCTTTCCCAAGCAAAAAGAGACAATAATCTAGAGCCTTTCATTGCTTCCAAAACTCATTTGGGCACAAAAGCAAGTTTCTAAGTTTGGGTTAAAGCTCCTTTTGAAATTTTTGGTGACATATAGCATGAAAGTAGAAAGTTTGTTGGAGAGCAATCATATATCTTCTTTCTTAATGGCAAGCATTCAAATGTCCTTTATGGTATTTTGAAGAAGAGTTCGAGAATTTTCATACTCCTCAAATACGAGTATGGCATAGATCCAAGAGCAATATTGTTTTATGTTAATTGGAATATTTTCTTGAATTTTGGAAAGAATAAAAAGGCATCGAATTACCTTTCTACTTTTAATTTCATTTAGAGGAAAATGTTAGGTTAAAACATGAGCATATCTTAATTTATCTTTACTTGTTTGAGTTTTATGTGGAAAGTCATGCTGGCATGTATGTTGGAAAGTTTCATATCTTATGTTTCAAGTATGAGTTTGGCATGGAGTCAATTTAACATTGTGTTGAATAGTTGAAGTATTTTCTTGGAATGAGGGAAAACCCGGTTGCATTGAATCCTCCTTAAGATTGAACTTTAGTTGAGATTCAACATCAAACGAGTTGTTCACTTGCTATGATGCACCGACACTTCTCCTCAAAGAGGCGTGCAGTGTCCGGCACCGTGTCCGACACGACACTCGTCCGACACTCCTCCGACACGTGTCGGACACGCCGAAAATGTGTCCGATTAAAAAAATATTAAAAACAAATTGGACACGCGTATCTTAAATATTTTATAATTTTTTTAAAAATATAATTTCTTTTTTTGGCAAGATTTAAACTAAATTTCTTATTTTCTATCCACAACACCAAATCAACGTCTGCATTTAATACCATTCATCGAATATTCTCATTTTTATTTCTCTTTGGCAGTGAAGGTATTTTCATCTCCTCTCTTTTTGCACAATTACAAATCTTTTTCTTGTTGAACCAGAGTTGAAAACAGTGATATTCAATGATGATGATATTAAATGCCAAAAGCAAACCTCTAAAGCTAATCATAGTAGTTGAAGCTTGAATACTTGATGTTGTAGTAAGTGATTATTTGCTTGTATTTTTGTGGTTGTACTAGACATTTTGTACTAAATATTTTATATTATAAGCTAGAAAAGTTATCAAGTCATTCATTTATTATTGTTTGTCATTTTTAATATGATATTACATTAATATTTATACATTGTATAAAAAATGTATTGCCGTGTTTGCGCCGTACCCGTGTCCTATATTTTCAAAAAAAAACCGTGTCCCGTGTTCGTGTCGTGTCGTGTCCGTGTCGCCGTGTCCGTGTCCGTGCATTATAGTTCACTTGTCATTTGGTTTGGAGGAGTACAGTTTTGGTTTTCATTCTCAAAAATGTGTATGGTTTCATTGTGATGGCTTTGGTGAAAGTATGAAAGGTGATTTAATATATGTTCAAAACTCCATTTTTAATCTTCAAAAGCATCTTTTATATATTGTATTAGTTACTTGATGTGTTAAGGAAATGTTTTACACTATCTTGTTTTGTGTGTTTATTTTGGGAAGAATAATGTTGGAATATATCTTTACATGAGTAAAATGAGAAGTTACTTGAAATGCTTCTTATTAGTTTTGGTGGAGTGAGGTGTGTTGGAAAGTGAGTTTGTTTGGATGATTATTCAAAAGTGGTTTAAAAGAGAGGCATAGCTCCTTTTCTCCTTCTTTCTCTATCTCTCTTCATTCTTTACAGTTTCTCTCTACTTGTTAAATGCTTCCAAAATCTAAATCCCAAAGAACAAACAACCAAACTAGTGTGCAAGCCCGAAAAAAGGTACGTTATTTAAATTGCATTTATTTATTTTTATTATTTACATATTAAATATTAACATGCACTAATACAATCTTTGCTTTCTTTTTAGTGTTCTTTGCGATGGACTTTTGGAGAGCAAAAAAGAAAGGAGCTATCAGGAGCAATAGACGAAGGAGCCTACATATATGAGTATTAGTCGCCATAATTCATTCCGATGGGGGTGCTATGGGCGAAACCACTAGGTCATAGCCCCCGGTGTTGTAAATTTCCTCAAAACTTAGAAAGCCCAAGGAGCCTTTTGGTGTGTGCGCCCTCTCAGCATAAGGATCTTGTAGAAACTTCATTTTTTTTACTAGGTTGTGTTTATTTATTTTAGATCCCTACACTTATTTACACATATGCGTATGTCTAAAGGGTTAAAAACAAACTATTTTCCATCCTATCGAACACTAGTGACATTTAAGGACAAAAACCAAAAATTAAGTCTTAGAAAATTTAGACTTATGAGGCATACACCTTTTAGGATAGAAACAGGGGGTAAAACCCCCGCACCCCCCAGCAAGCACGATAAACTTGAGGTCCAAGGCAACAAAACAACCTAATTAATCAACACAATTAGATCCCACACATAACACAAACTATGCTCCAAGAGGATATGAAGAATATAGCAATAAAGTCATATGCACAAGGGAATGAGTTTCTAGAGACTTTAAAAATAGCTTTTTGAACTTCCATATTAGAGATCAGCTTTGTGAGGACCTATAAAGAGACATCAGCAAGAGAAAGCTAAGAGGGTAGGGAAGGTGAGATGAAACATGATTGTTGTTTAAGAGGTTAATATAGTAATTTGGTAAGGTCTTGGCAAAATAAGATGGAGAAGTGAGGGAACCAAAAGAGGATATTTCTCAAATTTTCATTTTTCCTAACCATGATCTTGGAATATTAAAAATTAAGATCATCTTCATCTTGGTAAGTCACTTGGCCTTAGCTCTTTAAGCCGCCCAAGTGGATTCTCGTCTAATAATATGAGCAATTTAAATTCCAAAATGAATTCTTAATCAATAGGGTTACCATGTAAGAGAGTGAGTAAAGCAGATTTTATTTGTCCATAATAGAGTTCATGTTCTCAGCAAATTTAGAAGTAAAACACTAACTTTGGCTTTTGAGTGTGTTTCTAAAAGCTTATGATTTTGATAGATAATGGATATGGGACCAAACCAAGCTCAAGATCTGCTTATCTCAGTCATCAAAGTTCAAAAGTTTGTAAACATAAATTAATGAGATCGAGTAGGAAATAACCCAGCAATAATATCACGATAGGAGAGTGATCTTAAGCTTAACAGCAGTAGAACTTTGACTTGTGATACAAGGATATTGATCCAGCCAAGACAGGTTGGCAAGAGCTCGATCCAATTTAGCCCCCATGAGATCAATCTTATTGCTAAAACAGGAAAATAAATGTGAAAACTCAATAGATCAGAAAGGAATAATGGAGGATATAAGGTTCTCGGACAACGATGAAAATGATGACCATAACTCCAACTCTTGGGAGCTTGCGGAATGATGAAAATGATGACCATAACTCCAACCCTTGGGAGCTTGCGGGCGTTTTGAGGGGCAGTTATCCTACACATCAGAAAAAAAATAACAATTAAAGAATAAATAAGATATTTTCAATCGTAAAAAAAAGCAGTTATCCTACAAACAACCAAAAGAATGACAACGAGAGCATACACAAGATATTTTCAATGGTAATTAACCTTCTATAAGAAATTATCTCTTCTCTTTCCAAATCCTCAGGGAGAGACAGAGGGATGACAAAAAGAAAAGGTAATCCGAAACAAGGGAAGAACCTAGCAAGGAATTATTACAAATCTGAAATTAAAAAAAAAAAATTATATGGATTTGCCACGTGTTAAGAAGCAAACAGGAGGATGCAAACATTTAACTTACCAGCCTGTCTCAATTTGGGCTCACGAGGGTGGAGGCAAATTGATGGAACAATTACTTGGGTATCCATCCCATTCCCATTATCTAACAGTTCAATTTAAAAGTATGCAGGTAACTTGATTCTCTCAAATTTTAAAAGCTCCTAGCATTCATTGTAAGATAGTAGCACCATAATCTCTATTTTAACCAAAAGAATTCAAAAAAAGAATCATTTTTCACTTATGAAACATTACAATGGCTCTTTCATCAGTTAAAATCACATAAACCATCAGTACTCATCAAAATATCCTCACCAATAAATAGAAGACCAACAAAATAATGAAGTTGTAGCTTCTTGGATATTAGAATGTCTAGTTCTTGATATCACGATCAGAATTATTTTAAAGAAGCAAAGGTTGGTGAAGAATGGCATACTACTTGGGATGCACGCATATACCATCACATGGTAGATGAAGCTAAGAAATCTACATACAATTACCTGTTGATTTTAAATGATTATCTTTGATAGAAAATAGATAAAACCTACTCAAATATAGAGAGCCAAAAAAAAAACATAAAACAGAAAAGAAAATAATCACACAAAAAACATATTTTTTTTTATGTAAGTTCACTCAATTGATGACTACCTCCTATTGAGGTCGCTATAAATTTCATTCTAATTTTATTGTGAAGAATTATAATCACAATTCTTCTAATACAACAGAAAGACCCCCCATCCCACCTTTTAAGAAGAAAACCTTTAGTTAACCAAAAATATAATAAATTTTCAAAATGCCCTTAATAAAATAACTACAAAGATTGGATATCTTTCAAGGGATCCACTCCTAAACCACTGGGAGAGGGGCTCCCCACCCATTGCAATCCCTGCAACGACCTTGCCATAACTCAACATGCAACTAAGTATATGACGTATGTTTTCTAAGAATTAAAATTGTGCTCCACAATTTAACAATCTTCCCATTATAAATGCTTCAAATTCAATATTTTTCTTCCCTGTATTGGATTCTACATCAAGAAGTTCACTGGAACGCAAGTGCCAAAGAACAATACTCGTAAAGCTTTAGAGATAAGAGTAAAAGGAGAGGAAGTTATCAGCTTAGATCCTGGCAGGAAGATATCCGATCCAGTATCGTTTCTGATACAATGAAAGGTAAATATCGTGCAGCTTATGCAGTGGACAGAAGCTGGTACAAGCTGTGACAGGATCTGTATTTTGCAGAGTTTTCAAAAAGCAACAGGCCTGCCAGTCAAACCAAACGACCTGAAACCAGCTGTCAATCCAATTCAATTTGGTAAGCTTCAAACCAACTCTTTCAGAATGCATTTTATTAAGTTTGGATGTAATTGAAGAAGTTAAAATAAGTTTTTTTAGGTCCTTAAATTATACCACCTCTAATGTAGTCATTGCTTATTACTTGGAATTCTATAACTATATTCAAAGGTTAAAGGAAATTGTTCCTAAATTATAACATCTTCATTAACTAAATGGATTTTGTTGGGCGAGCCAGCGGGGTCGGACCTGCTCCAAGTTTGTTAACATTGTTAGGTTGGCAATAACATTCTGGAATTTTAATTAGCATAACAACATATATTACAGCGTTATAGCAAGAAATACAGTAAATAACAATCGCCTCATTTAATTTTGGTTAGTAATACAAGATGCATAAATTAGAATTAGATTTTTGAACTAAAAGTAAACCTACAATCACAATCATATATAATCACCTAGAATACTCATGTAGTCTCACAATCCCTTTCCTACATGCCAACCTATCAACTAAATCAATCCATCTCATAGACAATAATATTGTAACAATATTAATTAATTATATGACTTGTCACCTCGCATATTTTTCTCATTTTATTCCCAAAATACCTCTCCCCTTTTCTAAACTCATCTTTTTTAGTTCTGTGGCAGCCATTCCACAATTAGCTAAAGGAGGTGAGGGCAAAAGAGTTAAAGAGAGAAAAGGAGAGATCGAAGGTTGTAAAGGTCGATTTAGGAGTTGGTCTAGCTGGAAAAATTGTTCACCGTGACAATTTAAATTTCCCTACCCCAAAAATTAGTGAATTCAATTCACATGCGTTTTCTTATTCTTTCATCATATAGATGAAATGAGGATTTGATAACTTATGGAAAGCTTTTACCAAGGAAATTTAGGCATTTTACATCCTTAGCATTCCCATTTATATTTACCATTCCTACCAAAGTTTGGCAAGTCAATAATGTGAGCTACGCATTCTTCCAACATTCTACTCTATGAGATGGTGCTTTATCATGTGTATGGATGTGGATTGTGATGTTATGATGTTTAATTATCATACTACCTACTATTCCATAGGCAACATGCAACATACATTGCAAACATGATTTGCATGTCATCCAATCCATAAGGTTTTTGTCGTAGATGTGTTCTTATGCGCTAGGTGGTGTTCCACATGCAATCATACAAATTTTACAAGTGATCCAACATGATTCTGCTAATGTTCATGCATATTGGAATATGCCTATAGTCCTATATTATTATATAGAATTACCTATTGTTACACATCATTCTATATTCTCTTTACTGTCATGAATGAAGTGTATGAACTAAAGAACCATGGCTATGTTATATAAATATTGAGAAACTATACATATGATGGAAAGATCATACCTGTTAATGGCAAATGGTGCACCATGGCGCAAAGGTCCCTTTGGAGCTATGGCGCATAGCGCACGGCGCGGCGCGCGCCATTTTGAACATAGCGCAAACTATATAAAAATTATAAAATAATAAGCATGAATATAAAATATTATTAAAAATGAAATGCAACCATAACATATACAAGTTCGACTAAGTAACATCCAAATATCTCATAAATCAAATATTACAATCTTTTTTTTTAAGATTAAATAAAAATTTAATCTACACTTCTTGGGAATCATCGTCATCAGCAAATTTTAAAAAAGCTTCATTATCTTCATCAACATTGTCTCCTATTTCATAATCCTCTTCATTACCCTCCTCATCCTCATTCTCAATAGCAACATCATGCCTAATTGAAGATTCCTTCTCTTTTCCTTTAGATCTTTCCCGAATATTATAACTTTTATCATAAACACCATTAGCTTTAGCAACATTTGTCCAAGTTAAATCTTCCTCTCCAGCAATAAAGTCATTTTCTTCATCAGACTCATCATCTAATTTTCCTGTTAGCCATTCATTTGCATCATCTATCTCAGTCAAAGAAATATGATTAATCACATCACGATGATTGAATTTCCGAATCAGTGCTCTATTATATTTCACATAAACTAAATCCTTTAGGCGACCATGATCCAATTTGCTTCTTCGTTCGCTATGAAGCTGCAATTAAAATATTATTACATTACTATATTATGAACATATATAAAAAATCAACACATACATTGTAAAATACTTACATGTTTAAATACTCCAATTGCGTTCGCATCCAGATGTACATGTTAGACTTAGGACTTTGATAGCAAAGCTTTGTAAATTATGAGCTCCTTGTCCACATACCAACCACCGATCAGCTCGAAGAAATGAATTTTTTTTTCAATATTATATAGCAAATCAGTCTTAATTTTTTTGTAAATAATGATACCTGAAAATCGAGTAGTTATTTGTCTTACAGCTGGAAAAATACCAAATAATCCTTCACCCCTAATGTATAAACTTAATTTATTACTGATTTTATCTTCTTCAGCTACATCTTGATATAATCCTCCAATATATTGGTGAAGACCATCAGTTATTTTCTTATCCTTGGCAATATCAGGGTTTTTGAAGAAATATTCAGGATTTAAAAAATGTCCCGCTGCATGTAGAGGTCGGTGTAATTGCACTTCCCATCTTTTATTAATCATTTTAAAAATTTAATCATACTTATCACTGTTATTGAAGCTTGCAGCAATTGCCTCTTTTGCTCTATCAATTGCTTCATATATGTAAGTCATTGGGAGCTTCTTCTCTCCATCAACTAATCTTAGAACCTTTAATAAAGGACAGCTATTTTTAAGGCAAACACTATAGTGTTCCAAAATGATTGCTATAAGATTGTTTTGCTTTAGCCTCTTTCGCATAAGGATCCAAGATAAATTCCTCACAAAAAATAAAAATATAAAAAAAAAAATAGTAATGCTTAAAAGTTTGCTTAAGAAATACAACCCTATGTAAGATGATAAGCTGACGGGTTTATCTTCTTATAGAGAGAGCGAAGATGTTGGCCTTAAATACTGAAGGTGAAAATTTGGATGTGTTATTTGTATATAATTAGGAGTATTGTATGCCTTTAGCTGACGGGCAGAATGTGTGATCCTGTTATAACTAGAAAGAGAAGCATATCCACTTAGTTGTTCAAAATATTGTTTGTGTTATTATTACTATTAATGAGCGGGAAATACATTACTTACATGATTATAGAGTGAAATGACTGATCATATAACTATGACACTGATTATTGTTATTCATGCATATGTTATTTATAGTTTATCCATTATATATCTTTCACATAATTACTGATATGACTTGACATATGAACAAATGAAATATTATAAATTATATAAATGTAAACTGTTTTATTAATGTGATGCCATGCATACATAAACTTTTTATTGATTACACTGATATACTGCAAATGCACATATTGTTTTCCTTTTCATGCATTAGATTTTGTGGTAGTTCATATAACCTATTGAACTTATTGGTCATCATATTGTATTCACGTGTCTGTTTAGTTTCAAGGAAGGGTAAGGAATTCAATGATGTAGAGACTAAGATCATTCAAGTTTCTTTTTAAGAGTGTTTTGAAAAATACTTCATTTTCACTTGCCTTTATTTTCCTTTAGATTTATCTTCCTTGACTTTTCCTCCAAGATTTGTTTTTTATTGGCATCCTTGCTCTCTTGCTTTTCTAGCTCTTCTTGGAAATTGTGCTATGAATATGCATGAGAGAAAAGATACATGGTTGAGAGTGGATGCTCACATAGAAAGTATTAGAAAGGGTTGTTTTTGTGTATATGCGTGTGTGTCAAAGAGAGAGAGAGAGTAGGGGGGTGGGGGACAGAGAAGGGTGGGTCAATCAAATGTTATAAAAGAATCGAGGTAATTTAGATTTATTCCTTCCTGATCTGAAAAATTACAATATGATGGCTTCCTATTTATAAATAATAGGACGCTTATCTAATAACAAGATGAGTTGGAACTTATAACACCAAAAAATATGTAATACAAAGTGATATAAGAAGAGAATTAAGAAAAAGGGATAAGAATAGACAAGTTCACTGATCTCTTTTCCCTTCCCTTGCATTGGTCTACCAGCATACTTATGAATGAGGTTTTTGACAAAAAAATAATAATAATAAAAAATAATAATAATAATAATAATAAATAAAAATAAAAAAATGAATGAGGTTTTTGACATCCAATGTGATGAGCCAAAAAATGGTGGTACCTTCTTTATCTACAGTCCATTTGGTTGATTTAAGCCCCTTTATGGCTTGACGTAGGTTTATGTGAGTCCATGAGACCCTTATAGCTCACCAAACTGGATTAGGAAAGAACCTGATTTTAATGAACCAACTAACAATTCACCTGAAGACAGTTAGCTCAGCTCAATGAAGTGGAGAGCCTCCTAGATCGTCCATAGATTTGAACCTCGGCTTAATAAACATGTTTAAGTGGTGCTTTTACCTGGTTATATTACTACTCAAGTTACTTTTAGTTCTATAAAGTTTGTAGAGGGTTGAATTGCATGACCAATCCTTAAAATAGTATTTCCAGGGCTCAAAGCTTTGAACTTCTGTGCTTTCAAACTAGTAATCTTTACCACACAGCCCTAGGGATGTAAGTGAGTCAACCTGATTCGAGCCCTACTCGTTAACGAGCTCACGAGTCGAGCTTGTCGAGCAACGAGTTCAAGCTCAAGCCTATACTCGAGCTAGTATATTAAATGAGCTCAAGCTCAAGCTCAGCATAGCTTGGCTCGTAAGCTTGTTGAGTCACTCGATTAACTTAAATTATATTTAAAAATTATTTAAATTAGTAGTATGTAATATTTTTATCTTTTTAAATCAACTCTCTATTAAAAAATTGAGCTCAATAATCGAGTAAAGCTCGAGCTTTCCAAATGAGCTCGAGCAATCAAGTCGAGCTTGAACTTAGTAAATGAGCTTGAGCTTAGTAAGAACTAAACAAGCTTAGCTCGATTAGCCAGATACTCGACTCAACTCATTTACATCCATGCTCAGTGTTAGAATAGCCCAGCTCATACTTATATCTCTCTATATTTACTCCTAATGGCTGTTTAGTAAATACGTTCTCTGTATCCTAATAATGCTCTATAAGTACTTATCCCTGTACATGGAAAGAGATACTGGATAATAAAATCTTTATTCTTCTTCTTCTCTGTATTAGTTTCTACACTCAGCCCATTCTTGGAGTTTTACAAATTCCAGAATGTTGAATCTGCAACATCAAATGTAACTGCAACTAAAAACAATCCATCATGAACCCTAACATGATGCAATAAATTCTGTAGATTTAAAAAGCTTATTGGTATATCAATTCTTTTACCTTATGGCAAAGCTAATATGTGGTTCCACAAATACTTATGGGACTCCAATGGCAAGGGATATTGCGCCCGGAAAGCATATAATTATTAAAAAAAAGGGAAAAAATAACAAAAAGGATACTCACATCAGACTTAGCTACAATCTCTCGCCCCTAGACTTTCAAGCGCATCTCAAGAAGCAGCTCCAGAATTCACCATCACCACAAATGAGACATTTTTTATCTTGAATTCCGCATTGGCACGTCTTAATTCTCCCCTCAAGACTGAACATTAAGTACTGAGGAAACAACAACTCTATAAATTTTCTCCACATCTCCCAACCAAAAACTCCAAGTTGGGCCGAAATTTCTCCTCGATGGTTAATGCAAGCAGCCCCGGCAACCTCGGCAACATCTTAACTACCTCGCTATCGGAAATCATTCTGAGAAATCGAGCTTGGGCATGGCGGTTTGCTCGACAACGTAGACAAGTAGGAAGGCGGTGGGAGCTGTAACATTGCCAAAGTTGGTGGTGACGGGGGACGGTGTGATGGTGGGCAAATTATTGCATCCGGTCACCTGACATCCGGACAACCAATCCGGATGCGTCACATCACTCAAATACATCGGGACCCAGTGTATTTTGCTGACGTGGCGTGTCTGGATTGGTGTCCGGACGTATCCGGACACCGGACGCAATAATTTGCCGTGATGGTGAGCAGGGCGAGCGAGAGAAAGAATTAGGGTGTGAGGTTTCCAAGGATTTTGCTTGTGAAAAAAATTATTATTTTTATAGGACATTTAGGTCATTTAAAATATTATTAAAAATTTTAATTATTCATATTTTTTTAAATCCTATTATTATTTTTTAGGAAAATTTACATACATATCACTATATACTTATTATTTTACATATTTAACACCTCATACATTAATATTACACATATACTACTCAAATCCTTAATTTATATCGATTCTACCACTTTGTGTAACGCCTACCTCACGACGTCTATTTTCCCGCGCACCTGTGACGGACGTCTTTACTCCCGCTGAAATCCTCATTGTCGATACAGCTCGCAAATTACCTTTGTCGGACGTCTCGCCATTTTCCTTCATCTGAGGCCAATACAGCTCCTGATCGCATTGTCCTAATTGCTAGAAGTTGCCATTAGATCCTCATTTTCTTCGCACCTCATGGTATTGTCTTCCGCCTCCTGGCTGCTACAAGTTGCTGTTAGATATCAAACATCCTAAACCGTAATTTCTTCATGGCTGCTATAAGTTGCCATTAGATATCTAATTACAAGTTGACACTAGTTTCCGTATTCCCTTGTTTTTTTTAACAGAGAATCATGCCCTTATTTTTAAACTTCCATGGCATTAAGAAACACTGTTTGCTGTTTAAAACAGGCATTGAAGGAAATCGTGTATTTATTCGTAGCTAATACTGATGTGTTCTAAGACAACCGATTCTGTAAGTGTTGAATGATTCATATACAAGACTTTATAAATGTTTAAATAACATTTTAACCATTGATACTGCATGCTTATGGTGACAATATTGAAAATAATTTATACGAAGAGCAGAAAGAGTATATTTCTGTTGTATTTAAGTATGGTGGAATCTGGGTTCAAACCAATGACCAACATAGAAAGAGGTACGATGGTGGCAAACAAAGGACTGTTAAAGTTGAGAAAGGACAACTCACAATTTTCGCGCTTAGAGGAGAGATTGCTAGAATATGCTCATGGCTTAAGGGTCATCCATATAATATGTATTATTACATTTTTGGTACATCACTGAAGGAGTACAAACTATCAAAGCTCATTGCAAAAAAAAAATGACAGAACATTTGTGTTTTTTGGAGTTCATATGAGTTAAGTTAATGTGATTTTGAGCAACTATTCTGCATATACTTATATCTGCATATACCGGATTATGACATTATGCTTGTGAACTATACTTATATCTGCATATACTTATCAGTTAATGTGATTTTGAGCAACTATTCTACAGCTATTATCGGATTATGACATCCGAATTGGATCTAATCCTGCATATCAATAGCTGGTTTTACCGGTCCATAATTCTGCATATACTTATATCTGAACTGCAGCCAATACCGGATTTTGACTGTGACATCCGAATTGGAGCACATCAATAGCAGGTTTTACATCAATAGCAGGTTTTACATTGCTAAATTTGATAATTCTTCTAGTTCTGCATATACTTATATCTTATATTGTTGTTATTAATGCAAAAAAATAATTAGATCAATAGCAGATGACCAAATTGGAGCTACTACATGATTTTGAGCTTCCATCTTATATCAATAGCAGATGACTTCAGATCTATAATTTGGGATGCAAATACAAACTAACATTAAACCAACAAGTACTCCATTGCACGAAGTTTTTTTAGTTCCACAAAAGCTGAAAATACATGATTCCTTTTCATACAATAGAAGGAGAAAATAAGTAATTTCTCCAAGATATTTGAACAAAAGCAAGCACAACATACACTTGAACACAACATAACACTAACCAAAATAAACTCGTAATGTAATGTCAATAAAAACCATCACTAACAAAACTTTCAGTGTAAGACGAATTGAGTCAAACTCCTTAGAATTCCTTGCATCATATGCCTTTAATTCATAATGTGTGACATAAGATGTGTCTTCTAGCTCATCCACCCATTTAAAGTAACTGCAGTCGTCCTCACTTCTATTATAAATACACTTATAGAATTGTCTTCCACTGTTTGGTCCTCAGTGGCAGGTAAATAATACACATTTTAGATGACAATGGCAGTACACCTTAGAATGTTGCGGCATTTTTTTCACAACGGATGAACTCGAAGAACTCATTAAAACGTTTGCAAAACCTGAAAATATGCACAATAGCAGCAGATTTATACATAAGCAAATAGCAATTTATACTTTAATAAGAAAGGAAAATTTCATAAATCTGTAATTATAAAAAGTTTATAAAAATCTGGATGTTTATAAAAAATCTGGATGTTTAGCAAATAGCAGCAGATTCATCACTACGGTATCTTCTTTACTAGCTACAAAATCATTTTGAAGTCTGCCAAAGAACTTTCCTAGGAAAAGCTGAACAATGTGTGGCAATATTTGAAGATACAGTCCAGCAGATTCATACACCTTATAATGAATACCGACAAACCTTAGAATGAAGACAGACGAACCTATCCACCATATTCATACAGCTTAGAATGAAGACCGGAAAACCTGAAGGAGGTCCAGCTAACACCAGGTAGGTTTCGGACAAGAAGCTAGTTTTTGAGCAAACAAATCATTTTGAAAAAATTTGAGAGAATGCATCAGGAATACCCTAACTGACTATCTCAGATTCGCGTCTGTTGCGTCCTGGAAAATTCGCGGCGATAGAGAAATATAAAGATTAATGCCTTAGCTTTGTACGAAGATCCAGAACACAAGCAGATCAAAGAGATGAGGGTGTAGCGTTCATAAGAGACACCAGAGTTTTTACGTGGAAACCCCTAAAAAAGGGGGCAGAAAAGGTCGTGAGGAAGGCAGAAAACGTCGTGAGGTAGGCGTTACACGAAGTGGTAGAAACGATATAAATTAGGAATTTGAGTGGTATATGTGTAATATTAATATATTAGATGTTAAATATGTAAAATAATAAATATATAGTGATATGTATGTAAATTTCCCTATTTTTTATTAGTGGCCAATTTGAACTTCGTCCTAGTGAAAATTTTGATAAAAACTCTTGCACACAGAATATTGGGCGATTTACATAAATATCACACATTTTTATGTATTTGAATGTCTTATTTATTTTTTTATTTATCTATCCAATATTTAAAATTTTAAATTATGTAAAAGTAACATTAGTGCTATTTTATTTAAAATAAAATGCATACTTTCAAGCATATTATTTGATGTAACTTAAGAGTATTTAATTTCTGAAAAAGGAATGTGAAGTTATTTTTATATAAGTATAAAATAAATACATGTGATTATTTTATGTGATATATATAAATTTTCAAAATAAAATATTTCATGAAAATAATAGGATTTTAAAAATATATATGAAATAATTAAAACTTTTTATAATAATTTTGAATTATTTTCAGATAAAAAATAATTTAATATTTTTATATAAATGTTTTTTTAACCATTCAACTATCTCAAGTGACCTTCTAATACAATATTTTTCCTCAGAAGGAAAATAAATCATATCAAAAAGGAGATTGAGGCAATAGGAGTTCTTAAAAATATTGACAGTATGTTAAGCATGACAATATGTTAAATTTGATGACAAATTTTTCTGAAATTATCAAAGTTTCAAATAATTTTATGGTTTCGAAAGGTCCAGCATAAAATTAGAATGAGTTATCCGATGTTATGTGACATGTAACACTTGACTTAAATGCTTATGAACGTGCCTAGTTTTAAACATAATGTATTGCTTCATGCGAGATGGCTCCCGTGCATCTAGATGCATAAAAGATGTTATGTTTTGTGCAAAAATGAAGCAACCTTATGTTTACGCGCTAGGTTTGTTGGTTACAAAAGACTAATCAAATGTGCTAAGCTGCACATTATAATTGAGCTTACAGGCATTATCGAAAGAATTCCTTCATGTTGTCAGACTCATTCTTGTTTTGTTCAGTTTAGCATCTTAAATGGAGTTTTTTCTTACATCAATGTGACTATATGTGCCTCGCAGGAACTCGTCATTCTCATCATTGCCTTGACCCTTTGGTTCGCTTTTTGTTGGATTTGGCTTACTCTCTATTTTTTTTTGTGATGCTATTGGGTTGGCTGATTTAACCCAGCTAGCGAATATTTATGGCACATGAGTTATCGTGGACTTTGCTTCTATCAATTAGTGGCTACTTTTGTGTGCCCAAACATAAAAAATAACAATCCTTTCATTTGCATGACACTCTTAATATTTTAGAGTTCAACAATAAACTTCATAATTGTTGCTTGCAAAGTGAACCCTCAATTTGTGATATAACTCTCAACAATGCTCAATGGGTAGTCTCCAACCCTTCTTCAAGGCATGGAGATTGCTTCATAGAATGAGACCCTTCCACCCCTTACGTTAGGGTATCATCTCATAACATTCTCGTTCCTTAGGCGGTCATCTTAAAGTCTCATTATATTGTTGTAAATATGACTCATTTAAAAAAATGAACCTTAGAGTCATGAACTTCTTGCTATAGTTGCTTAATTAAAATGTGATATTGTCTTATCCTCTGTGCAAATTTTGTGTTTTTTTTCCCTCGTGTCTTTTAAATGGTTATTGCAGATGAGATCATAGTTGTATAGATGTTGTACTACCTGGTTGATCCTGCTAATAGTAATATGTTGTCTCAAAGATTAACTCATGCATGCATAAGTTTGAACTATTTTATGCCGTGAAATTGCAAATGACTCATTAAATCAATTATGATTAATTTGATGTTACGTGCTACTCGAATAATCATAATAATTCTAAAGCTAATGCATACATCAAAATCCCAACTTATGATCATAGTAATTCATAATATCTTATATAAGTATTGATGTCATTATAAATTCTAAGACTTTTCGAATTGGCATAAATTGCACAAATTACGTTAATATATTCTTCAACAAATTTTTTTCCATGTAATTAAGCTATTGTGGTGTTTCTGCTGAATTAATATCCATACGTGGTGGGATTTTTTCTATTGGTGGGCTTGGGCCAACTTTGCTGGCCC